TGTGGTCGCCATTGTTTTCTTATCTGGAAAATATATCTGAGATATGACCAGTGATGGAATGGTGCACTCTGTGACTATTTTTCCTGACGGCCGCAAATACTAGTTGTGTTGTCATTGTCTATATTGTTGCTGTATTGTATAATTAATTGTATAATTATTTGTTTGTTTTACTTTGATGTGGGTTTATTATTATTATTATTATTATTATTTTTTTTTTTTCATTTTATATTTATCTTCATGGCTCTGTTGTTTAAATTATATTGATAAGCTTTTTTTTTTGCGGGTGGAGTGAGTGTACTGTGGTACTGTGATATTACAATATAAATGAAATGGCATCGATTACTGTACACTATAATGAAATAAAAAGACTTGTAAAAACAGAAAATAAATTATGACATTTATATGGGCATAGATATGTCTCATAATTATTTGTGTGAACATAACAATTATTTGTGTGTAAATATGTGATTTGTAAATGTAAAACAACATCCACAAATGCATTTAAAAGATTTGCAAACTCACAAATACATTTGCAAGTGTAAAACGGATCTGCAAATACGCTAAATATGTTCACAAATAAAAAAAAGATCTGTGAATATCTCTTTAACATTTACACCTTTCGATCAGGCATTTGTGAATCCATTTTGTATTTGTGGACCAAAAATGCGCTTGCGGATCTCAAATCTCTGTTCACGGATCTCAAATCTCTGTTCGCGGATGCAAGCGCATTTTTGGTCCACAAATACAAATTGGATTCACAAATGCCTGATCAAAAGGTGTAAATGTTAAAGAGATATTCACAGATCTTTTTTTTATTTGTGAACATATTTAATGTATTTGCAGATCCGTTTTACACTTGCAAATGTATTTGTGAGTTTTCAAATCTTTTAAATGCATTTGTGGATGTTGTTTTACATTTACAAATCACATATTTACACCCAAATTATTTTTATGTTCACACAAATAATTATGAGACATATCTATGCCCATACATTTATAACAGGATGAAATCAAAGTGAATGGCCTGCTGCTGCTGAATGCATGGGGCAAGTGACTGGAAAAAGTTTTAAAAGTTATAACATCGTTTCAGATAATAATAATAATAATAATAATAATAACCATACAATTCATAACATATTCCAAGGAAAGGTTTTAAGACAGTACAAAGAATGCAGTCCGGGTGATGTGTTTTATGTGTGGTGCAGATGAGAGAGCTGTCCAGAATGACACCAAGATGTTGTGTTTGAGTTCTTGATAAGCCATTAAAACAGTAAAATACGTGTCTCCTGTTCACCAAAACATACCCATCTGTTATGGAAAAAGAAAGTATTCCAAAAATATTCTAAAAGTAATCTGCTACCGGCGGGGATTGTTGTTAGCTTCTGATGCGCAGAAGAAAAATCTGGCCCACCCTATTTTTTACAGGCCTACCCTAAAGTACATTTCTGCCTACGCTACTGATACAAACTAGAAGAAAACAGAATCATATAAGTACATCAGGTTTCATAGAGCCAAAACATTTCAAGTGCTGCTCAACTAGCTTTAGATAAGCCAGTCCTTTGTTAGTATATAAGTGCTTTGTTAGTAATTGTATTGCTCGAAGTGGAGTCGAAAGAGTTGAGTTTTTAGTCTGCGCCGGAAGATGTGTTTGTGAACAAAGGAAACCGCTCAGTTACTAATTAATAATTTGGTGTAATGAAGTACTGCAGTGTACTTCGGGAGCTTAAGTGTAAAGATAGTTACACGTTGTGAATAATTAAAGGAAACATTTTTGTGATACTGCAGTTTCCACTCCAAACCACTACTTCTTCATTATTTATATTCCCTGCATGTTGCAGTATTCATTAACTGCTCAATCACCTGAAAAGGGCTGCACTAAAAAGCATACTGTGAAAGACACACACACACATAATTACACATTTCTACTTTACTGTGGTTGAGAACCATTACCCAAACAATAATTTCCTCCTCTTCAGACCTGATTTGACCTGTGAGGACGGAGACACTGAGATGTTACCAAAGAGTAGATGACATGAATACTGGCTAGCGGAGGAGTGGAAGTAGTCAGTGAAATTAATGTGTGTGTGTGTGTGTGTGTGTGTGTGTGTGTGTGTGTGTGTGTGTGTGTGTGTGTGTGTGTGGGTGTGTGTGTGTGTGTGTGTGTGTGTGTGTGTGTGTGTGTGTGTGTGTGTGTGTGTGTGTGTGTGTGTGTGTGTGTGTGTGTGTGTGTGTTCTCAGTTATGTGATGATGATGCCGTTCAAGCGTCAGGCCCTGGTGGAGTTCTCTGCAGTGGAGAGCGCTGACCGCTGTGTGTCCTGTGGAGCCAAGGAGCCAGTGTACATCGCAGGTGGGACTGCTGAGATGTCCTTATGTCTCCGGTCAGTTGCACATGCTTGTCTGTAGCATGTTCTATGTACTATATTTTCCTCCATGTGTTCATCAGGTCAGCAGGCGTACTTTAATTACTCCACATCCAAGAGAATCACAAGGCCCACCAACGCTGACAACCCCAACAGTGGCAACAAGGTCCTGCTGCTGTCCATACAGAACCCCCTGTACCCCATCACCACGGTAACCAGACACTCAAACACACACACACACACACACACACACACACACACACACACACACACACACACACACACACACACACACACACACACACACACACACACACACACACACACTGTCACAAATATACACAAACACAATGTCATAAAAACATACACACCCAAACACACACACACACACACACACACACACACACACACACACACTCACTGTCACAAACACACACATACTGTATGCACACATTCTCCCAAACATACACACGCAGACTGTCACACGCATACACACAAACACACATGCACCCCCTACTTAGTTATCTCTTTCATGTTTTTCTGAAACTCTTCATAAATACAATTAAATAAAAATGATGCCGCATGTTTATAATACTTTTTCATATTATGTCTACTTTCTGACCATAGAGCTGCTCATTAGCCTGGTCTTACTTCATACCAGAGAAAGAATGGGCACTATATGATGACACTTTTACACCAACAAAATAGACTTTGAGTTTTAGAGGTCTCACTAGGTCCCTAAATAACAACCTGGAGACTTGTTGTATAGGAGTTATATTTCTGTATCACTAACCACAGCGGGTTCAGACACACTGCAGCGTTCGAAATGTGTAGATTGTGTCAAATGTTGCATTTTTTTTTTCGGTACAGGATGTTCTGTACACAGTGTGTAACCCCATCGGCAGTGTGCTGAGGATCGTCATCTTTAAACGAAATGGAATCCAGGCCATGGTGGAGTATCCTTGCTGCTGCATGTGTGAACGAGTGTGGCTCTACATGTGTGTGTATCTGTGTGTTGAAATGTACCATATTCTGTCCTTAACCCAACTCCTTCAGGTTTGAGTCAGTTCAGTGTGCTCAGAAGGCCAAAGCTGCTCTGAACGGAGCTGACATCTATGCTGGCTGCTGTACACTCAAGATTGAATATGCAAGGGTAAGAGACAGAAGGCAGCCACAGTCACAAGGAGGTCGTCCTGTAAGGTCCAAGCACTTTGTGCTGCTCTTCAAAGTCACTAAACAATAAATTAAATTAGATTCTTAAGGGAAATGCTTGTAGTCAGCCACCTGAGGCTCAGAATGGATTGTTAAGCAGAACCATCAGTAGCTGCCATTACATCTGTTTGGGAAAGGGTGGGCATTTCCAAAAGAAGCCTTGGTAGGTGATTGGTTGAATCATCTGATAATCGTACTCTGACTGAAGCCTGTCGGGAGAAGAGCAAAAACATCTTATTATGTAGAAAGCCTGTTATATAATACAAGACATAAGAAGTGAGTCTATTATCTAGCCACATGCCTAATTGTAGATATAATTAATATATTTATATTTGAGAACCTTGATTGTTTCGTATGCACTGTGCAAAATGTATGCTTTTTCTGAAGTTAGTTAAGGCAAGTATCAGCTGATTAGATTTGTCTGAAATGCATCAACAGCAGTTTGCAATAGGCAGGAAGTGTCATCTGCATCAAATAGCAATGTGGAGAGATGCTGATGAATCTCTCTTCTTTGTTTCAACAGCCAACACGTCTGAACGTGATTACGAATGACAACGAGAGCTGGGACTACACCAAACCCTACCTGGTCAGGCGAGGTAAGACAAACACTGTCTCGCTCTTTTTCTTTTTCTCTATTTACACTTAGGGCAGACTGTGACCACGTTTGGGATCACTCTACTTTCACAGTATTGCAGATCCTGAGACGTGAACGCAGTTTGACTCTGAGTTCTGTGTCGTGGCACCGCAGCCTTCCTCCATTAACGTTACACCAATAGATAAGAATGGTCAGTCATTTGTGAAACTATGTCAAGATCCTCATTCCTCAGTCATTCTGGGTTAAGAAGGTAGTCTTAAACAGTTTGGACCATAAACATCCATCACACCAAGACTCCTCCGCCGCTCGTCTCTTCATCTCCAATCTAATCACTCTCACACCAGCCAATCACAAGCCTGCACCTCCACTTATAATGAAGGCAGAGAGCAAAATAAACATTGAGGGAGAGAGAGAACAGAGGAAGAGGGATGGATGTCAGGCTGACCATACACTGCAGCTTTCTTCCATCTTAACTTCTGCAACCCAGCAAAAAAGATAAAGGGAGCTGGATCTCACTCCTGCTGACCGCCATGCAGCTGCTGCTTCAACATGCCCAGGATCCTGAGCCTCCCCTCTGTCTCCAGGACCTCCACCTGTCTGCTCCACACAGTGTTCTAACACTACTGTGTCTGGGGAGGTAGCCTTGCATGGCCTGCTGTCTGGTCCACTCAGTCAGATTCTAAATTTGACTTTTATTAGTGACCATCATGCACCTCTTCCAGCTAATGTCTCCTCTAAACTGCCTTTTGAATACGTTTTCATTGTGAAATGTCATTGAAAGATCTTTCTGGTGAAAGTTCTCCGCTGTGGACAGACATGTTGATATTCAAAAGTGTGGCCATGCCAGGCTACATTATGAAAGGCTGATCTCTGTCACTTTACCTCCTCTGGATCAGGGATGTCACCATATCAAGTTTACAGACCCCTATTGTAGCACATATAACAACAATGATAACATATCCCTACTATAAATAGCATAACAATATTAAGAGGCATCATTAAATGTTATTTGAACTGTACTTTATTGTTATACAGGCTTTGAAACAAGAACAACACACTTGTTTGATATCGTATTCATATGAATACGATATCAATCTATATGGCCCAGCCCATTTAATAACAAAACAAGTGTAGTTTTGCTGTTCAACACAAATAATATAGCATTGTTAGTATTGTAGGTATAATAGTATTGTAATTTCATTTTGTTTGATTGATTTATGCATTTATAAAACACCATTACAACTGTCCGTGCCAACCAAGCGGCAAACTCTGGGGCAGAGCCGGGACGCCAATAAGGAAGTGCCACAAACTGCAGTTCATCTATTGGCCAATAGGCGATGACTGCAGAAAGGATGAATTTCCATAGACCCCCATGTTAAAATGCCCAACTTTACAGCAGAAATAAACATGTTTCTACCCCTGGGTGCTATAACAATTATTCGGGATATAGTTAGATTCCACCTTAATGATTATTAATTGGTGAGTGAATTGTTTTATAACGCGACCCTTTTATTTATATTAGGTCTTAAAGTGTTTGCATAAATGAGGGCATGGTCACTTTGATGGACAGGTACGTGCCTCACTGTCAGCTAACAGCAACTTGTCCACTTTGCTAGTCTACAACCATAGCTAGTTGTAGTTACTGTACTTGACCCTTTAGCCGTGTTCGTGGTGATTGTGCCTTTTAGGGAATGTTGTTACAAATACCAGACAATTAAAATGTTGTGCTGTGCGCTTGAATGTACTAACATAACTTCCAAGAAGTCTAAAATGATAATATTATACATGTTAACCCCGTTAGCAGGTGTTTGTGTGCTTGTTAGCTTAGCTTGTTATATAGCTTATTAGCCGGCTAAGACGAGGTGTTCAGTATGGAACTCCACACTTTATTATCATGAAACATCAGACAGGTAATCCGTGACCGGGGTCACAGCTGGGAGGCGTCCCCGTCGCGGAGGTCGGGCCAGCACCACCGGCTGGCCCAAGTCCAGGTGAGCAGCCTTCACCCGGTCCACCGAGACGTGCTCGGCTTTGCCACCCAGGTCGACCACCAGGTGCTTGTCCCCGTGCTCCAAAACCCGAAAGGGGCCATCGTAAGGGGGTTGTAGGGGGCCTCTGTGCGCGTCGTGCTGGATGAACACGTGCCCCGCCGAGCGGAGCTCCGCGGGAACCCGGCACACTTGGGTACCGTGCTGAGTAGTAGGGACCAGAGCAAAAGACCCAGCGACGTCCGGTAGGAAAGCCCGCTGGGCTGTCGCCGACCAGGGAGCCGATGTATTAGGGAGGAAATCCCCAGTAACCCTCAGCAGCTGACCGTACACCATCTCAGCCGTAGAGCACTGCAGATCCTCTTTAGGCGCAGTCCTCAGGCCCAACATCACCCAAGGCAGCTTGTCGACCCAATTACCATCCGTAAGGCCGGCCTTGAGGGCGGCCTTGAGGGCCGCCTTGAGGGCCGCCTTGAGGGCCGCCTTTATGGAGCGATGGAACCGCTCACAAAGGCTGTTAGCCTGAGGGTGATAAGCAGTAGTCCTGTGCAGCTTAACCCCCAGACCACTCGCCACGGCGTTCCAGAGCTCGGACGTGAACTGTGAGCCCCTGTCCGAGGAAATGTCTGACGGGGTGCCAAAACGACACACCCACGTCGCAATGAAAGCCCGGGCAATGAAAGCCCGGGCAATGTCTGCGGCTGATGTTGACACGAGAGGAACCGCCTCCGGCCAACGGGTCATCCTGTCCACCATGGTGAGGAGGTAGGAAAAGCACTGAGAGGAGGGCAATGGACCAACCAGGTTGATATTGACGTGGTCAAACCTCCTCTCAGGCACCAGGAAATGCTCCAAAGGGGCCTTTGTGTGGCGGTGCACCTTAGCGCGCTGACAAGCCACGCTCTCACCAGCCCAAGTCCTCACGTCCTTCTTCAGCCCATGCCAGACTTCGCGGCCACCAAGCGCACCGAAGGCTTAACACCGGGGTGTGACAGTCCGTGCACTGCCTCGAACACAGAGCGCCTCCAGCTGGCGGGAATGACTGGCCGCGACAGGCCCGTGGAAACGTCGCACAGGAGGGTAACGCCCGCGTCGCCGAAAACCACATCCTCCAAGCGCAGCCCCACGCCCTCCACCTTCAGAGCCTGGACGCCGGGGTCTGCGACCTGGTCCGCCGCCATGCGAGTGTAGTCCAGGCCCAACTGGACTGCTCCGATGACGACCCTAGAGAGGCAATCTGCAACCAGGTTCGACTTGCCAGCCACGTGTTTAATGTCTGTGGTGAACTCCGAGATGTAGGAAAGCTGCCGCTGTTGACGTGCCGACCAAGGCTCCGCCACTTTAGACATGGCGAAAGTGAGCGGCTTATGGTCGACAAACGCCGTAAATTCACGGCCCTCCAGCAAAAAACGGAAATGCCGCACGGCCAAATAAAGTCCAAGGAGCTCTCGGTCAAAGGCGAGTGGCGAGTGGCTGCCAAGCGCCCTCCACCCACTGCTCGTGCACCGCACCAACAGCGTAGTCCGATGCGTCTGTGGTAATGGAGATGGGAGCCGTGGATGATGGATGCGCCAACAGGGCCGCCTGAGCCAACGCGGTCTTGACCTCCGTGAAAGCAGACGCAGCTTCCGCCGTCCATTCTATTGCCTGGATGGGGGTCGTACCTTTCAAAGCCTCATACAGCGGCTGCATAATGTGAGCGGCCCGGGCGATGAAACGGTGGTAGAAAGTCACCATCCCCAGAAACTTACGGAGCGACCGGGCTGTGAGTGGGTGAGGAAAAGCCGCAACAGCCTCCACCTTCGCCGGCAGGGGTGCTGCACTGCCTTTGGTGACGCTGTGTCCGAGAAAGTCAAACACCCCGAACTGGCACTTTGCAGGATTGATAATCAACCCGTGTTGGCTGAGCCTCGCGAAAAGGGCTCGGAGGTGTGACAGGTGCTCTTCCACCGAAGCGCTGGCGACAAGTATGTCGTCCAGGTAGACAAACACGAACGGCAGGTCCCGCAGCACCGAATCCATCAGGCGCTGGAACGTTTGGGCGGCGTTCTTGAGCCCAAAAGGCATCCGCAGGAACTCGAAAAGTCCAAACGGCGTTATCACTGCTGTCTTAGGGACGTCCAGGGGATGCATGGGCACCTGGTGGTAACCACGCACCAGGTCCACTTTAGAAAACACCGACGTACCGGCCAGATGTGCCGAGAAATCTTGGATGTGCGGCACCGGGTAGCGGTTAGGGTTAGTCAGGTGTCGTGGCGTCGTTAATCCCCACAAGGGGGCCAACCACCGTTCGGCTTGGGAACGAAGTGTAGAGGAGAGGCCCAAGGAAGAAGAAAAATGTCTGCTCCCGACAGCGAGCCCGACAGCTGCCTCGCCAAGTGTACACACGAGGGAGGAAAACGTCAAGGCATCAATCAAGCGTTTATTTTTAACGTCCACAAGGAGTCCATGAGCACATAAAAAATCCGCCCCGAGGAGGGGAAAATAAATGCACAAACACATAGGCCTCACGACGTATGTGCGAATGGGGCCGCCATTAGCCGTCGTCAACCGCGGTCCATGTCCCCCACGAGCGACGTCTTCCCTCGAAGCAGGAACTACACTCCGTTGAGCTCCCGTGTCACACAAAAACAAGCTTCCCGAGACTCTGTCGCTGACAAAGAGAAGCCTGCTCGTGCCGCCAACGCTCAGGGCCACTACCGAGCGTTGGCTCCTCCATTTCCCGGAGGCTTGTAGCTGCAGGGAGCGACCCACTTCTTCGCGCTAGTCCCGAACCGCACGTGGTAAAAACACTCTCCTGTGTCTCCATGCTGGCTTGCTGCTGTCGTGTCCAGTCTCCCCCAAGCTTTCTTTACTGTTGCGGGGGCGCTGAGTGTCACAGCTAGCGCCTCTGCACCGGGCTGCTGGGTAGCCAAGAAAAAAAGGTCTTCTTCAGCCAATGCACGGGGCTCTGTAATGGACGTGTTGGCTAGTGCCGTCTGGACACGGGAAGGCAAGTGGCGTAGGAATGTCT